AGCTGGGGAGTGGAGAGAAAGGGAATGCCTGCTGTGGGTGACATTCAAGACTTGCTCCCAGGGCAGAGCGCTGTGCGGGCGCTAATCTTCGTGGATATTTATACCTTGCTCTCGCATTCCCCTCTCCATAGCAGACATGGGGAGAGCCCTGCCCTCCCCGCTCCGCGGGAGCACGGCACTCCTGCGGCAGCAAGTGGAATGCAGCGGGCCAAGAGTGGGTGCTGGGGGGATGCACCGGAGACGAAGCAGCCACCCATGCAGCTGGGGCAAAGGCCCAGCGTGAGGGGACTGTGCCAGCTCTGCTGCTCGGTCCCCATGGCCGCTGCGCTGGGGACACGGCTGCTGCCTTTTGTTAAGCACATTTGTCACACCAAGAAGTCTGTGGGGTCAGTGCCTGAGTCAAGAGCGGCCCCTCTGCGCAGGGGGGGTCGGGGGAAGGATGGCTCATCCTTTGTTCCACATTTAGGTACAAAGGACTGCAATGAGGATGGGCTTTTAAAAATAGCCAGAAGGATTAGACCTTAGCTGGGAATGCTCAACTGGGCCCCGCTGTGCCACCATGGTGTGGGTCATGGAAAGAAGCGAAAGGGATGATGCAGGGAGGCTGGGAGCTGGCTTTGCGCGGAACAGGGGGCAAGAAGCAGCACTGGCCTTGGCCTGGGGCCCCCCTGCTCCCCCAGAGATGGAGCTTGCAGGGAGGGAACGAAGGGGGACAAAGCCAGTGCTGGCTGAAGCCCCTGTGGCAGGGCAGGTAGGTGCCATGTGCACCCTCTGTGAGAGGAGGAGGAGGAGGGCAGCACTTCAGCCCAGCGCAGGGCTCGAGATCGTTGGGAATGGACTGACCCCTGCCCTGCTCCTGGCCGGGATCATGAGGAATCGCCCTGCCCGTTGCTATGACCTGGCTGCCTCCGAGGGGCGTGGGCAGCGCTGCTGTCTCCAAGGATTTGAAAGATTGCTGCTAGCTTTTCTGTTTCAAAGAGTTTCGACAGAAATCAGGGACATGTTATTCTTTGCCTCCTCTTTTTTGGGTCTGCGGGGTTCACGAGGAGTCTCTGTTCAGGTTTTTTGCAGCCAGCTCAAGAGACTAAGAGCATGCTGAGCTTGAACCAGGGCCCAGACATTCCTAGCTGAGCACACCTCTTCTATTTGAGGCTTTAAAGAAAATAGATGTGTGGGGGGGAATGACTATGGGAGTTGATAGCACTGAGTCCTGGGAAAAACTCCAGCTGTGAAGCAGAGACCAGGTCTTGCTTCAGTCATGATTACAGACGGCTTTCACTCCAAGCATGAAGAAAGCCTCTCTGGCATGGGCAGTCTGCCTGGCCAGAACTGCATGGAGAGGTGCTGCCCGCACCTACAGCTGGCCTCCAGCAGCAGCTGTGCTACGGCTTAACCCACACTAACCCTGAGGATGAAGAAAATGCAGCCGAGCATCCGGGGAGCACCTCCCTGCAGAGCTGGAGTTACATCGCTGCTGTGTGCTCCGCAGCGGCTGGTGAGCCACGCGTCGGGGCTGGTCGTGTGGAATCGAAGCCAGAACATGGAAAATGCAGGGTGTCAGCTGTGGGCTCTGCTCCTGCTGAGCTGCCGCCCGTAACGGCGCACGGGCTGGGGCTGCGCTGCCCAGAAACCGTGTGGGTGCTGGGAATCAGCCCTGAATCCCAGCTGATGGGCTCGAAGGGGCTCCCAGGCCAGCTGGGGCAGGGGTTACCAGGGGCTTGGGGCGCCTTCCCCTGAACTTGGGGCACACTGCTGCCCAGGCTGGAAGGGAGCAGAGGGTTTCTGTTCTCGGGGAACCAGGTTATCTCCTCCCTTTTGTTCACAAGGGAACCTTTCACTGTACACTGGTGAAGGTACAAGTGGGGCTCGTAGAAAGAGCCTGGCAGGGGTGCAGCACCCAGGGCTCGCTCAGCGGGGAGGGCAGGCTGCAGCAGCCACCCCTCTATCCACTGACACCCATCAGAATACATTAGTGCTCCCTGTACTGTTTCCAGGGCCTCGGGTCAAACTGCAAGGCTCCCCTTGAGCCCTGGGGAAACCTGCTGGGTGCCAGCACCCAGTGCACGTGGCTGAGCCTGGACTGGCGGGCAGCTCTGCCTCTCTGCAGCACAAAGCTCTCCGAGGGGCACTTCTGGAGGATGCTGTCCTGCCCACGCTGCGGGGCAGCACCAAGGTGAGCAAGCGCCATGTCATCAGGGCTGGACACGCCAAGGGGAAGGAGGAGAGGTGACTGGGAGGTGATGGGGCACAGCCAGGCGTTCACCCCAAGGGCAGGGCACTCATCCTGGGAGGCGACTGCAGGGGGGACAAAACCAAGCAAACATCAGTTGTGGCCTTCAAAGGGCAGCACATGAACCTGTAAAATTGGGTTTCCATCCTCTGTCACCAAGGGTGGTTTTGCCAAGAGGCTGGGCCCCCTCAGAGGAGACAGGAGGAGGGACAGTCCCCAAGGTGAGAGCGGCCGTGTTCTGTCTGTTTACCCTATGCAGGACAAGTGCAAGTGTGAAAAGTCTCTCCTTGCAGAGGGCAAGGAGTAACTCACCTCCTTATCCACAGGGAGAGGGCAAAGAGCCTCAGGTTTATCTCGCAGCAGGAGAGATTTATGAAACTTTCACACCGCTGCTGGTGAGGACGGTTTTCCCTTGGCCCCTGGGCTGGAGGGCCCCACGGGCCCCACACTGCAGCAGAAATCCCCCAGGGCTGGTTTCACGGACACTTCAAGCTGAACGAAGCACGAGCTCCCATGGAAAGGGGTGTCCGATGGTGCAGCCACGCCGCTGTGCTGGTACGGTCTCCAGGGCAGCTGGATCAAGGAATGGATCCCAACGGATCCCAGCACAGCTTGGGAAGCTCTGTGGAGAAGCAAGACTGCAGGAGCAGGGCTGTGCTCGGGACGGAGGCGCTGGCCAGTGGGTCATGGTGAGCAGGTCCACCTCCCCGGCACGCTGGTCCCCAGGCTGGCTCTGTCCCCAGCTGGGGACGGCAGCGTTAACCGGGGGCCAGCCACGCAGCCCAGGGCGCAGGATGGAGGCACTCCTGGGTGGGTGCCCCGGGGGTCACCCTGTCTCTGCCACCTGGCTGAGGTCACTCGCTCTGTCTGCAAACAGATCGAAGGCTGACGACCTGTTAATGTTTTGCAAACCCACTCGTTCCAAGGATGTAAGCAGCCCAGGCGTTGCTGGGAAATGAAATGCTGCCCGTAGGCTAGCACTCAGGCTTAGCCTTAACCAGAGATGGCTCAGAGAGCTCTGAAAGCCCAGGACTGCCTCAGCCCCTGCCGGGACTGTGTTTGCTCCTACAGAGGAGTCGGAGGCTGCTGAGCACCACGAGGACCTGGGCTGGAGCTCGGACAAGTGCCCTCCTCACACCACAACAGAGCAGGGACAAATGCTCTCCTTCGGCTGCAACAAGTGAAGGGTGCTGTCAAGGGGACACAAAGGCATTTTAGCCATTTCAAAGCAAAAAAAAAAGGACCACATGTTCCCGTGGTCTCCAGGGGGACGAGGCACCAACCCCCTGGCAGCAGCGTGGGGAAGCTGTAAGCTTTTTCCCGGAGACAGGACAGTGACGGCCACAGGCTGACGTCATTTACGGGCACCGGGATCCCCCACCGAGCATTGACCCGGTTCTCAGTCCTCCTGCAAACAGGCAGCTCTTCCACGACCCAGCCTTACCAGGAACTTCAGGAGCCACGTTCAGCTGAACCAACCCAGCCCAGAAGCAAACACGGCGGCCTGGGGCTGGGTTGCGATATCCCCAGTGAGCAGCGCTCTTCCTCTCCTGGTTATTTCTAGTTCCTCTTCCCGGTCTCGCTTCCTCCTTGCGGATGCAGCCCCGGGTGATGGCTCCCGCCCGTGCTGCCCACACCATTACCACTGCCCCAGCGAGGCGGGACATAGCTGGTGACCTTTATGGGATGCTATAAAATATACGTCACTGGCTGCACGGGCAAGAGGTGGTTGTATCTTATTTTCTATTTTGCATCACGTCAGTTGATCCCAAGGTGTCCGACCATGACGGAGGCAGCTGCAAGAGGCAGAACAGGCACTGGCAGAGTGGAAAATGGGGCAAGAAAACCAGGCAAACAGCATTGGCGACTGCAGGGAGCTGCTCGTCTCCTCTATAGGCTTCAGCCTAACTGGGAAGGACGATGTGAGGGCAGTGGTGCTGGTCTCGCCTGGCTCCGTGGGCTTGGCCAGGGCAGCGGCTGGGAGCCGGGGGGCTGCACGGAGGGGACAGGGGACAGTGGTGAGTGTCTTCACCAAGA